ATGAAGGTCCTGCTGATGGACAGAGAGACGGTGAGCTGCGCGAGAGGGGGAGGGGGCGGGGGGGCGCAGGCCGAGCAGGCGGGGAAGGGCGTGACGCCTCTGCCTTCGCGCTAGACCGGCGTCGTGAGCATGGCGTACACGCGGTCGGAGATTCTGCAGAAGGAGGTCTACCTCCTCGAGCGCATCGATTCCGCCGGCCGGGAGAGCATGAAGCACCTGAAGGCCCTCTGCTTCCTGCGGCCCACGAAGGTGAGCCCCGCCCGCCCCGCCCCGCGGCCGCGAACGGGCTGGCGCGGGCCCTGGAAAGAGGGCCGGGCCTGCCTTCTCGGGCGGCGGCGGCCCCTGGCCCCTGGCCCCTGCCGCCCTGCTCATCGGCGCCCGCTCCCGCTCGCGCCGTGGCGATGCCCCTCGAGGGGAGGGATACGTGGTGCCCTGGATCCCTTTTCTCCGGGTAGAACCAGCCGCCAGCTTCCCTAGCTGGCCTGCCGTTAGTTTGCGGATCTCTCCACTTTGTCCTCTTTGGATTTGCTTCTCGGCCAGGAAAACGTCGAGTATCTCATCCAAGAGTTGCGGAGACCCAAGTACAGCTCTTATTTTGTTTGTGAGTACGGCGGGGCTTTGCCCGCGTTTCCCTCAGTATTTTGGTCTCGTGGGTAACGGGGGATGGCGGGACGGAACGGGGCTTACGTGTACAGGTCGCCGGGGCCGCTTCTGCTGGGGCCAGGAGTCCTGACCGAGCCTGCTGTGGGGAAGCCAGGACGCGTTGCGGGTCTTCCCCCCTTCCAGTCTCGCCCCCGTTGGCCTTCCTGGCTGGCCTGGGGGAGATGAGACAGGTGGCAGGTAGGCGGTGAAGCCACGTTGCCACCCTGGACTCTCCCCCCCCAACGCCTGGCATGAGTAGCTTTCGGCTCTGCAGAAGGGCATCTGGTATTTAACTAGCCTCGCTGCGCGTTAATTTGCTTTTGGCTTTCTTGGTGTTTTACAACCCGCTGCACTTATAATCTGATTAAATGTATTAAACCGTAGTCTTGATACTATACCGTTTTTTGCTCTGTTTTTTCTTAATTTGAACTTCAGTTGGCTTTTGTTAGCCCAGATTAGACTTTCTGTATGTGAGAAACGCAGGCTGTACACCTCTTGGATGAATGGATAAATTGCTATTACATGACACACTCGAACTGCCCATCCTGAGCAAGCAACAAGGACCCAAAGCTTGGCCTCTAGGAGTCACTCTTGGCTTAAGTGGCCACCCTGATCCGGCCAGTGGTTTTCGGTCTGGGTGCAGAAGGTTAAGATGTATCATAGATTGCTCCTGAAAACACAATGCTATCTGAAAATGCAGGGAAGGCCTGCTGAGCGTGGCACCCGCCCACCCCCGCCCGCGGGAAAGACATGGGCTAGACAGAACACCTTTCCACAGTAATCCCCATGCTCTGGAATACGCTTCCCTGGAGCTCTGTTCAGGCCCTTCTCTGTTTGCATTCCTCAAGGCTGTAAAACCTCTAATACTGCACTGTGCCTTCGGAATATGTAGTTCTTTTTTTTATTATTATTATTATTATTACTACTACTACTACTACTGCAGTTAATTGCTTCATTCTTCTTCGTGCTCAGAGTCTATGGATAGGGTGGTTTACAAATATTATAAGTAAGTAAATAAGGTAACTATAAAAGGAGATAGATAGATAGTTAGATAGATATACAAATGACAAGAATACCTATGATCTGATTTTGACTTGTGATGATTGCTTGTGGGATGGGTTACTGATGCATTATGTCTGCAGACTCCAGGCCAGGTGACCTGCTTTTGCCAAGCAGGAGCTGAATGGGGAAGGGTGGCAACTAGTGCCAAAGTCCAGATTAGATGCCAGTGCTTGTAAGTAGGACTAGGAAACAGTTCCTGCTTTTTGCCCGCACTCATCCCCGTCTTCATCCTTCCTTTTGCCCTGCAATATTTTGGTAAGTTTTCAAAAGACTCTTATTCCCTACTGGCTGCTTATCAAGCTGTCCTACGGCCCTCGTTTCAGATTTCAGCAATGTGATCAGCAAGAGTGATGTCAAGTCTTTGGCGGAAGCTGACGAGCAGGAAGTGGTAGCTGAAGTGCAGGTATGTGCTGCCCTGGAATCCTGCTGCCCAGACGCCATGCTCACTTTCGGAGATCAAGGAAATGTTTTAGAAGCAGAGAACAATTTTTCCAAAGCCAAGCCCACAACTGGACAAAGGTTTTTTAAACAAAATTGCTGGGTGTCCAGAAAGCCAGGCCTATAGCTACCTGCTCCCAGGGACTTGGCCGGTCACACGGTCAGTATGCTAATATTGCTGTAGCATGGCACTGGATTGTTTCTACTTTTCTTTTGGTAGGAATTCTATGGAGATTACATTGCTGTGAATCCACATGTATTTTCTCTCAACATCCCTGTCTGCTGCCAGGTAAGGTTGTCATGGTGGAGCAGGGTTGTGCGTTTGAGAGTGGGGGAGAGAACTTTTACTGCCACCATCTTTCTTGTGTTGATGCATAATTCTTCTGGGCTGGCTGGGCAGAAAGATAATGAGAGCTTGCTGAAAATTGCACTTCCTAAAGACATTAGGTGGCATTCTGCCGTTTTTAGCTTTTGGGGCTCTTAGATATTTTAAAATATTTTAAGACATATGCATGGGTGATAGATTTTCTTTTTCTTCAGTGGGAATATGGGGCAATTCTGTTTACGTGACAATGGGCTTTACTGGAGCAGTCTTGTGACTTTTACTCTTCAGTAACCAAAAATGTTACTAAATATAGCAATGTCATGTAGGAGGCTCCCTTCCGTGCTTGTAGCCTAAATGCCCTTTTTGTATGCACTGCAATCTTGTCAATCTGTCACAGGTAGATTTAGGAAGTTTTGTTTTAGAAGTCAAAAGCTTGCATCGTCGCTGTCTTTACTTAAAGCTTAAATCAAAGAGCAGAGTGACAACCTGATAGCTGAAATTGAGCCAAAGGGAGTTTTCCGTGGTGGGTGAGAATTCGCTTCCAAATTGCAACCAGCCTTGTTTTGCAAAAGGGATCTGGAGAAGGGCTTCCATGGATGACACAGGCAGAAAGACTGGTGTTTAGGCTTGGAAGGGCAAAAATGCCTGGAATACTGACTTCTGTTTGACTGAGGTCCATCTGGTCTGTTCTTAAAGAGCCAAAGTTCCTCAGAACCCGGGAAACTAACCTCTCCTAGAACTTGACATCCCATTATTGGCAGTTTCAAGCAAGGATGGGGCCCTTTTTTCATAGCCCATCCATTCTTTTCCTGCTTTGAGCAGATACTTGTTTGGGGCCAAGCCTAGGCAGCTTCAGGGTAGACCTTTTGCAAATCTCTCCCCTTTTCTATTTCTAGGGCCGCAGCTGGGACCAAACACAGTTGTCCAGGACTACTCAGGGCCTCACTGCCTTGCTTCTGTCCCTGAAGAAGTGCCCTATGATTCGTTACCAGCTCTCTTCTGACTTGGCTAAGAGGCTTGCTGAAGGCGTCAAGGTATAGTTTTATAATCTTCATATTTAGGAGATCCAAAAGCCTCTGGCATTCACACAGCTTCTTTCTATGTTTTTAAAGTATTTATATTCTGTGCTTCCTCTGGAAAGTCTCCGTGTGAGGCTTGTGTACAGATTTGTTCTTGTTGTTCAGTCGTTAAGTCGTGTCCGACTCTTCGTGACCCCATGAACCGCATCACGCCAGGCCTTCCTGTCTTTCACTGCCTCCCGGAGTTTGCTCAGTTTCATGTTCATTGCTTCGGTGATGCTATCTAACCATCTCTTCCTTTCTCCTTTTGCCTTCCATCTTTCCCAGCATCAGGGTCTTTTCCAAAGAGTCCTCTCTTCGCATTAGGTGGCCAAAGTATCTGAGCTTGGGCTTCA